GTGGGGGGTGATCCGATCCCCTTTGATACAAACATGGACGAGTGGGACGCCACTCAGCTATACTTGCTCGGCACTCAGCCACCTCTCGCTCGGGCAAGGTTCGTGCGATACTCATGGTTCGAGGATCATTTCCGGATCCAGGCGCCTACTACCCGGGAGGAGGAGGAGCAGTAAGCTCGTGGTTTTATCATGTTTCTGCTAGGGACCACACTTTTCGCCGACCGAGAGAACACCGTCGCCATCTATCTGCAGAGCGCGCTTGTGGATGTGACACAGATCCGCCGCTACGACTGGGGTGGCACGGGCTTGGCCACTTTTTACGGGTACATGAGCTCATCTTCCTGCCTCAGCGGGCAGTTACTCGAAAGCTATTGGCAAGCCTGGAAGGTACACATTCCCTTTCTGTCTTTTCAATTCTGCTTTTCATTATCTGTACACCATACACACTGTGCACACGTAATCTGTTCTACATTGGTTGTACACTGCGCACACTGCACAATACACTGCACATACCGTATTCTGCTTTATCTGTATACTGCTCTGTCTGATAATCATACTCATATCTGCTCTATTTCATTCTGTAGTTATGGGTGTATGCCTACTTTCCTAGGCTTGCCCCAGTACCAGACGAGGAGATGCCTCTCTAGATCTGTTTTAGGAGCTCTAGGGTTTTCTTTTAAAGGCTATTTTGCTAATTTTCCTTTGATGTTTACTTGAGTATTAAACTCACATGGTTTGATAATGCATATCAAAGGGTTGTTTGAGTGATCATCTTCAAGAGTGTTCTTTGGTGGAATCCGGAGATTCAATTATGAAGTGTTCAAAGGTGTTTGAAGTTGTGCGTAGTCGTTAAGTCGACGTGGATGTTGTGGAATCAACATCAATCTAATCAATCCTAAGACAAAGGTTGCAGTGGAAGATATACAAAGCGTTGAAGACAAATTAATAGAGTTTGGGTAATTTGTTTGGGTATTTTGTATTCTTTCTTTCCTTCACAGTGGATTGATTTGTGGCGTTTCGCCCATGGTTTTTTAATCACAATTAGAGATGCTCCAATAGTGATTTTTTCCACGTAAAAATCGTTTGTGTCTATTTATTATTTCTGAAACAACAATCTAAATCACTTTCGTACGTGCTTGATGATTTAGATTGTTAGTTTTAATTGTTTAGGAATTGGTACAATTAAATCTTGATATAATCACGAATTACTTAAGTTTTTCAGGGACCCCCTTAGGGGATGACCCCCACATCTCCAAAGTGATTCTGGCCATTTATCTATGTGTGGAGTCCACATCATAAGTAGTCCAAATTTATAAGGGTCTTGTGGGGGTAGGGTCTCAATCATTATTCCTTGTACAACACACAACTTTGGGGAAATCTATTTCAACACATATAGTTAGCTCATGGCACACACTTAATGAAATATTAATTTAATAACAATTATATTCTAAATAAAAATGACCATAATAGACATCTAACAACATCTACAATATTATATAAAAATATTCTCTATACACATTTATTTCTCATCTTTCTCTCTCCAAAAAAATTTCGTTACTCTTGTATCCCTTTATCTGCTTCTGCTACTTTTACTTTTTCATCATTATCAACTTATTCTTCTTCTTCTCATCCTCATCTATTACATTCATAAATCACTACCCATTTCATTGCTTTATCCTCATATTCATCCTCTTCCTCCCCATCAAATTCCTCATCTTCCCCGATTCAATGCGAAGGTCTTGACCAACTAGTCAAGGCAATTTGTAGGATCTGTAATTGGTGTTCCATACATACAGAGGAGAGTCATTAGGCGAAGCAGAAAAGCTCTCAAATTCAATCAACTCATCATAACCCATTTTAGAACTCAAGAGAGAGAAATTTTTTCCAAAATCAAGTTCAATTCCAAGTTGAAAAGGCAGAAGAGAAAAATGGCATTGCCATTCAAGTATCAATACTCTATTCTCTAGTCACGGTGGTCACAAAGTCGCCACCGGCGATCCATTTAGATTGGCGGCGATGGATCGAGTCAGTGATATTTGATAAGTTTTTTCTTATCTGGGTTTTGATTATTCAGTCTTGGAATGGTCTTGTCTTCTCACTTGAAAATTCTCAACGTTGAATAGGTACCTTTGCATTTTTATATATTTTTGTTCTTGAATTGTTTTGATTTATTAAAAATTTCAACTGGTATTAGGTTAGTTTCAGATATCTGCAATTTTGAGTGATAGATCTTCAAAATTTATAAGAATCATCTCCCTATTTTAGAGAGAGAGAGAAAGATGACCATAATGGGTTATAAGTGTGTGGAATGGGAGTTTAAGTGATGTGCCAAGAATACAAGTTAGGGTATAATTGAAACATGAAGTGTGTGGAATGAAAACAATAATCTTTAACTAAATTAATAAGAGTGTGCACTGAGAAATAATGTGCACAAAGATAACTAAGCATGTGAAAATAGAATTTTCCGAAAGTCTGTTTGGAACCTAATAAAATTCACATTCCCTAATCTTTTGAAAGCCAATGGCCAACCCATGGGCATGGCCCAATACCAGATATTCTTCTCACAGACATTTCCATGAAACTCCATCTCCTACATGAAACTCAAAAAAATCTTTAAAATATATTTTATTTTTAAATATAATTTAGGTCTTGTTTGGCAAGTGGTGATTTTAGTCAAAAAAATTAAAAAGTCACCAAAAAAAATTAAAAAGCTAACAACCTATACCAAAAAATCAAAGATTCCCTTTTCTCTTTACTTTTTTGCACATCTTTTTGAAAAAAAAATCAAAAAGTCTGTCCAAACATACTAGTTTTTTTTACCTCATATTTTAGCCAAAAAGACAAAAAATTATTAAAATAGCCTATTTCCAAACAAAGCCTTAAACACAAACTTATAAAAAATGAAAACAACCTTAAAGGTGGAGCTTAGTTTTTTTTTTTTTTTTTTAAATAATTTTGAAAAATATTTACTATTTTCCATGAGGCTTTTTTATTTTTTTCTAAAAATTTTGGAAATTTTGAATATTTAAAAAATAATTAATTTTGTTTTCAAGAAATTTATTAAAAAAAAATTTGGAAAATAATTTGTTAGAATAAGTTTCTGTATTAGTTTTTAATTTTTTTTTAGAGAATAGAAATAGTAAACAATATTAAATGCATTCTCATGTTTTTCAGTTTTTGAAAAAAAAAAAAAAAAAAAAAATTGTCAATGTCTTTTTGCCTGTATTAGAAGGGCACTGAGTCAAACTTTATCAATTGGATTCCAGAAATACTAAATATAGTTGGATATATTTATTTATTTGTATTTAAAGTATAGTTAATTACTTGAAACTCTCATGAATTTTTAAGAAAAAAAATTTCTGAGATGCTTTTTAAACTGTAGCACAATATAAAAAGAAGGTTATGAAAAAACTTATAAAAGATGTATTATTGTACTAATAAGATTTTAAAACAACTAATAGTTATGGATAATGTAATTATTAATTTAGCAACAGCAACAACAACAACAACATGACCATTGCAGTGTGTGACAATTTGAAGAGTCCTGAGCTGTAGTGACCCCAAATGAACGGAACGGGAGCTCGTTCCTCCCGGGGCGTTCGGGGACGTCTACAGTTACTATAAGTACCAACATCATTTCACCATCACTACCATATCATCATCACAATCACCACTGCCATCACTACAACTACTAGAACGACCACTACAACTCTTCACTTGCACAATTGTTGTCACTATTGTTACAACCACTGTCATTATTCCATCATTGTTGCCAACCTTTTTTTTATTTTTTATTTTATTTCCACAATATTACCCTTCTACCATCACCACAATCATTATCCATCAATCTCTGCCACTATTAACATTGGCGCTATATCTAACGCCGTTGTTGCCTCCTCCATCACTAACAACTCACAATCACAATATAAAAATTGTAAGATATACAATTTGAATAAAAAATTTAAATTTGATCTTGTATATTAAATAATTTGTTTTAGTTCAACACTTAATTTCTTATTGAACAACTTTTCAACTAAAAAAATTCACCATTAAGTCTGCAGTACTAAATTTTTCAAATTTTCAATTTTATCAAATACCTCCTAAGTCATAACAAATTTATTAAAAAATTTAAGAGGGAAATAAATTTATATATATATATATATATATTTCAGATTATTTTTTTTAATTTAAATCTGTTGATGATGATTGTTGGTACTCAGATCTGTTATATTGATTTGTTGTTCTTGAACAAAAAAAAAAATCGAAGATTTTTTGGGTCGGGGAAACCCGATCCCCGTTAGGGGACGGTGACGGGGGGTGATGGGTTCCCCACCGGGGATTGGGGACGAGGACGGAGATGTTTTAACCTTTGGAGATCGGGGACGGGAAATGTGGTCCCCGACCCCGCCCCAGCCTCTTATCATTCCTATGTTTGACTTGGACTTAAAAAAGTACAAAAATATAAAACATATTAAATAAATATAAAAAAAAACCCAAAAATTCTTTCTAAACAGAATTAATTTAACCAAAAAGATTTAAAAGTTAAGTTAAATTTTTTTTTTTTCCCTTCCAAACCAACCTAAAAATAATAATAATAAAAAATACTATAAATCCTAAACTTTCTACTTAGGCCCGTTTGGTAAAATTGTGAGAAAGCAATTATAACTTATAACCTAGCAGTTTATACCTTATAGCTGTAAACATAAGTTGATTTTTGACTTATAAATTAAGTTTCTCCTCCCCCACTCAAAGAATAAGTTGATTTTTAATTTACAAAAAAAATTATAAACTATATTATTAAACTGAACCAAATATATCAAAATAACTTAAATTAAAATAAAAATTAAAATAAACTAAAAATAAACACTACCAAACAGAGGCCTAATAAATAAGCAAGTATCGCACACAGGTGCGTGGGATCTATAAAATTACAGACTCCACACCCTCAAACATAATCATTTATAAAAGTATTTCTAACATTACCCATAAAAAAACAAACTTAAAGCTGTCTGTTCATCAGACGCACCTCGTTACTCTGATGCAGAATCCGAACCGACTGTGATATCATATCATATCCCCAGTTAATAATAGCACCCCCTTCAAACTCTCTCTCTATCTCTCGTCTGGATTGCGATCAATGTTGTCATCCATATGCCATTGTGAATCTGTATGGTGTGGCTAGGGTTTTCTCTGCTGGTTTCTTCGAACTCGACGCTGTCTCGTTAACCTCTGGATCATATTTTCATCAACTGATTGATTGATCGATCGGTTGGTCTAGGGTTTGGGAGATTCTGAGCCACAATCCCAACTTCTCATGGCAGAGACTTCGAGGTCTCGCGTTACCATCACTTTGGGTCGCAGTGGTCAGGTGCGTTCTATTTCTTCTCAATCCTCTCTCTTTATCTCAAATTAGGGTTTTTTTTTTTTAATCTATGGTTTGGGGATGAATGAAAGATTGATAAATGTGTGCTTTTGTTGAATTGGTTTGTTTGATGCTATGGATGGTATTGAAGTGGCTGTTGTGTTGACTGAATATTCAATCATTTGAGGCATTAATTTACAGGTGGTCAAGAGGGCAGGACCAGTGGTAGATAGTGGTTTTTCGGAGTATCATCCGGGCCTTGGAAGTAAGCGATCGGTTAGAGATAGACTAGGAAGTGATGGAGATGGAATTCAACTCGGCAACAAACGGTGCTTTTTTTATGTTTTTTCTCTATGCTTTCTTGTTGTTTGGTCGAGCTAACTTGTAATAGATACATGCTTGGGCACAAATTTAGTAGCGTATTAGTATTGGATATATTGAAATTTTCAATTTTAGGGCAGATTGAGTTTTTTCAAAAATGAGATTGTTTCACATGGTAATGCTGTGTTAGTGGTGACGCCAAAGCTAGAAAAGAAAAGAGATGATTAGAATTTCTCATCTAGGTGAGAAAATAAAAGAAATGATTGTGATTTATCGACTTCTTGTTTGGATGGACAATGATTAAAAGATGATACATACATCTTTTTATTTAATTTGCTTTGTATTTAAAGGGGTAGTTTAGGTATTATAAACACCAAATCCCAAACATAACTTAAGGTTGGAGTGATTTGTCTAACTTATCATTACTCACCTCATTAATCGTCCAAACAAGTGATGAGAAACTTATTCTCACAATTTCTTTTCTTTTCTTTTCTCACCAAACCCTCAATCCAAACGAAGTGTTGTTGTTTCGTTGAGCTAACTTGTAATAGATACATGTTTGGGCACAAATTTAATTGCTTATTACTGTTTGATATATTGAAACTCATTTACAATTTTAGGGCACAATGAGTTTCTTAAAAAACGAGATTGTTTTACATGGTAATGCTGTGTTAGTGGTGATGCTGATGCTAGAAAATGATGCTGGACATTTTTGGTTCTAAAATTCTACTTTTTTTGCAGGCAAAGGGGGGATAGTAATAAATTGAGTATGAATGGGGCTCATGGTGTAGATGGTAATAGGCTTACTCAAAAGTGCTGCTACAATATTGCATTTTTTAAAATTTTGAATTAATTTTCATCAGACTAATATTGAGTTCTTTGAACAAGTAAAGATGCACGCCTTGGAAAAGATGATCTCCGATTCAAACTTATGCGGAAAAATGTGCTTAGGCAAGGGAAAAGTGATGTCCATCGGAATGGGGTGGATCTACGTGATACGCTATCGAGGGCAGTTCGGCCATCTACAGCTGGTCTCAGCACTCGGCAGCGCATGCCTGAGCCAACAGATTCTAGGCATCTTGTGTCTGAGAGAAAGGATGCTAGCATATTGGGGCGAATTCCTTCCACGAGAAGTGCAGATGCATTGCCCCAGATGGTCTCGTTGAGAAATTCTTATTCACCTTGGAATTTGGATCAGTTAAGGCAAAGATCACCTGATAGGGTTTTACGAACTTCTAGGAACCTCTTGCCACAAAGGAATGAGGAAGAAATTACGAAAAGGCCATTAATCAGGGCATATGACGACACGAGAACAGTTTCATATATGAGCAGAGAGATTCTTGAAGCTGGAAGGCCCTTGGGCACTTCACCTTACATGACAAGACCAGCAGTCGCTGCTGCATCTGCAAAGTCTCTAGTGCCACCACCAGCCCCACCTCCTCCACCAGGTGGCATTGTGCATAAAAGTTCATACATGGTACAACTCAATTGCCTTACTTGCATTTTTACTTTCCTCTTTTTAGCCTGAATTTCCACGCCACAGCTGCATACTAGTTGGACGATTAATTCATGTCATCACATTCTTTTTTATTATTATTTACTTCCTCATTGCTTGTCCTATTTCTGATATACTTCATATGAATAATCAAATATTATGTCACGTTTACCCATAAATTAGCTCTGCTTTTGTTTTGAGATTGCTTCATTATGTGATTGAGGAGTAACAGTCTAACAGATCTGTAAATTATAGTCAGAAAACATTTACAAAAGCCGATGAGATAAGTGTTCAGTTTTCTAAGAAAGAATGTGCTAAGAAAGTTTGTTAAATTTCTTTATCTTACATGACATGATAAACATGGGAAATTTTTATCGTTAATCAACTTTTAGTTGACTTATTCTACTAGCTAACCGATAAATGATGCTAACTTGGCTGGCCTTTATTCCCAAACATGATCAAGTTGTTGTGGTGGGATCAGTGGTTTTTATGGACATAATTAAGACTATGCATGTCATGAGCATGGTTATCAAAATCGCAATCCGGATCGTTGGATCGTACGATCTTACGATCCTAAATTGTCAAAACAATCCAAATCGTTGTAGGATCGGTGCTATAGTAGGATTGCAAGTAGGATTGTATGGGATCATAGGTAGGATCGCTGGATTTATGATTTTTCACTTTATTTTTAATATGCACGAGACCCTCTCACTGATCCTATGTATGTAGGATCCCGATTTTAACAACCTTGATCAGGAACAAGATAAGAATGGAATTGTAGTCCAAACAAATGCATCAAATGAGGCTAAGTATTTAGTTTCCTAAGAAAGAATGTTCTAAGAAAGTTTGTTAAATTTCTTTATCTGACATGTATTCCTTTTCTGACATGATGAACATGGTGAAATTTATAATCAGCTTTTAGTTGGCTAGTCTCTTTTTCCCAAACATGCACAAGTTTTTGTGGTGAGATCAGTGGTTTTTAGGGACATAATTAAGACTGTACATGTCATGAGTTGTTGCAATTATGCTGTTGTGAGTTATAACAATAAAAAAAAAATTGGAATCATTAAATATCTTTGATTTATAAACTGCAATGTTGAGATATCTTTGATTTATACTCTCTCAGTTACCAATCCTTTTAGAACATCCGATTTATGTTGATTTTGAGTTGGAAATGCTTTTGTATTTTGACTATTGTGGCTCATGAGTATCTGCAATGGAAAATTTGCAAGAAGCCAGTCCCTGCAGGCTGGAATCAGGTTTGGATCATCAGAGGGCAGAAGTATCTTGTGATTGCCCAGCAGATAATTGTGAAACCGAGCTGTTCGTCCTGGCTATTTTTTTCTTCTTCTTTTTTTTTTTTTTTTAAATTTTTTATTGTAGTGTATGATAGGTTTCTTCTAAGGGTGCAATGATTCACTTTGAATGATGTTTTGGAAGATGTTGGAAATTAAGAGAAAAAAATACTTGTATCATTCATTTTTCTTGGAAGATGTCACCTATTTTAATGCCTTATTGATAAATTTCTGCAACTTGGACTAGTGATAAGAGTTGTAGGTTGTAATGACTCTTTAACTTAATATGATGCTCTAGCAAACTATATTCAATATTAGCATGTTTCAGTGTCCTTTTCTGAACATACCTCAAATACGTGCCATCATGGGCAACCATGTTTTTCTTAGTCTTTGCCCCTTGTAGATACTTTCTCAAGTTTTAGTGAAGCAGAAATATGGTACTCTATCAGTTTCACAATTTTGTTGATGATATGCAACACATTGTGTTACTTTGGGGTTTTTTTTTTTTTTGAAGTTTTGTCATTTCAATATGTTGGTTCTTTACATTCATCTATTAACTATACTTCTTTTTTATCTATTATGTTATGTAGGGCAATGAACATCTTACTGTGGATGGCTTATTGCATTCATTGGGCTTGGAAAAATATGCAATCTCTTTTAAGGCTGAAGAAGTATGTGATTTCTGTTGAGATCTTTTTAATGCTTTATGAGTAGTCTTGCGATGAAATTGTATAAACTTTCAATTAAGTTCTACATTGTTGGTGTTTTATAATGAAGCATGAAACTCATGTATGATTTAACAAAAACTAGTTATCATTCAATTCATTTTAAACCAAATAAATATAGAAAATTTAAAGCAATTAAAATTTATGTCTGTCACTACACACATCTTTCTCCTGCTAACTGCATTCTTGATGTTATCCTACATGTCTCAAAATTCTTTGTGGAAAAGTGTCCCTATCATCAGGCTAGTTATTGTTTTCTATATTTTTGGTTGTTGCAAAATAAAACTGAAATCCATGAAGTTTGTCATTATGAATGCCTTATTGTCCTTGGGGAGTTGAATTCATGACCTCCTAGTGAGGCAAACGGGCTCTTGTCACTGGGCTAATCCCAGTAGTTATGCACAGCTTTCATACTCTGCACATTTTAGGGAAAGAATCATTTTAATTCCTCAAAAGGTTACCAGAGGAAGGTACCTCGGCCCCCTTTTCTCGTGCATGTGCACAAGATGCAATACTTTAAAACATGACAATACATCCATTCACTGTCAAAATGCTAAAAACTGTAGAGCATGCTAGTGTTGCCAGTGGGGATGGAACCAGAGAATTTTTTACTCATTACTTTTTTTAGGGAAGGGGGCAAAAATTAGCGCATGTATTCTGTTTCTACTGTGTTTATAAATACATGAAATTCAACCTTGATTAACAGAACATAAACTAGAATATCACTTGCATAATGGTAGAAATTAATTAGAATAACATGAATTGTACACATTTAATTTTTAAGAACTTTAGTGTCAGAATATTAATTTCACTGTAACAACCTCCACAATTAATGTGAAGACAACATATATTTTGCGTGTATAAAATTCATAAAGAGCAATATTGTAATAAATCTACAATTGATGTCAATAATGTGCTAGATAAATCCATGTTTGCAAATGGAACTTTTGATGTATTTTTGTGCCCAATTTAATGCAGTTAAGTGATGACAGAAGAGTTTCTGAAATAGAGAATGAATCCTAAAGAATTGGCAATACTAATTATTTTTTGCTTTCATAATAGTATGTAGACAAATTAAGAAAGTGATTGATGTTTAGAAGCTACAAATTCTACCCATATAAAATTAGAAAAGAATCAAGCCTAAGGTTGGAACTTTTTATGAACTGTGCTGGTTTATTTTGGAGGAGTTTAATACCAAAACCAGTTCTGTATGTTTTCTCTACCAATTCTAATTGACTGGTGTCAATTATGGCTCTGGAGATCTTTGATTTTTCCAATTATTAAGAATCTGTCTTGACCAGATGATGTTGGATTGACGCTCCTATTAATAGACTTGTAGTGAGCCCAAAACTGATAGGATGCAGCTGGAGGAGGACTTATTTTGGGTTAAATTATGTCTAATTTATGTGGCCAAACTTGGTAAAATATATGAGTTATTAGGTATTCAATGGGGAACAAAAGGGTAGGTTTTAGGGGTTGGAATTAAGGACAAGAAGTTTTGTGAGCCCTGAATAGTATCCAGGGAACTGTAGAAAGGGCCGGTTTGTGGTTATCTGGTTACGGTTGGATGCTCAAGGAACCAAATGTATTGGTTTTAAGAAGGGGGGGAAAAAAAGACTAAAATGTTGGAAGGCGAAAAAGGGGTTAACATAGATCTAATTTTTTAGTTAGAAGCTTAAAATTGCAGAAGATTAAAAAGAGATGTTTCACATCTAGATTCCACAGTCAGCGCACTTGGATTAGTACTGTATCAAAAAATTCCAAGGAAACTTTAAATACTTTGGTAATTCTCTAAAAGTTTATCCTTGTTGACTTAGAAGCATTACATAGCTTGTAGGAATGCATATCATAAAATTCCAAAGAAACTTGAAAAACTTTGGTAATTCTCTAAAGATTGATCCTTGCTGAACTAAAAGCGTTGCATAGTAGCTCCTACACCAACCAAGATCTATATTCTTAATTTAGAAACTAGATGACTTCTAACATATATCTAAACCTAACTGAACACATATTTAGAGACTTAATATTGCGACATGTATGGATTTACATCTCATGAAGGATCTGTAGTCCTTTCCCAATATTTTTTGCAAATTACCAAAATATCCTCAGTCTACAAAACTTATTTAAAACTGATAGGAAGCATGTTTAACCTAAAATAAATGCAAATTGGACTATTAAGACTAGAAACTTGACTATGCGTGGTCCTGTATGGCCTACCTGGAAATCATGCCAATTTTAGGCTATGTTACACGGACTCTTCAAAATAAATCAAATACCCATGTCGGACACCCAACACTCGGACAAAAGTATAGGATATGTGTCGGATACTTTTCAACAGATACTTATTATATAATTGTATATACTAATACTATTATTATATGTACATATTGTTGTATAATTGTTATAAATATCTTTTTGACACCGTAAGTAGCATATAGTACCATTTTATCTCAAATACTTGATTAAAAATATAAAAATATGATATTTTTTTGCCGAGTCCACGTACTCTCAAATTACCTGATACCCGTACCTGTATCCGAGTCCATGTAACATAGATTTTAGGTTATAGGTGCTTTCTTGCATTTATGTTTGATTGCTCTTCTAATGGACTGCACCAGCCTCCCCAGTTGGAGAAAACTCAACCGTGAGTTTAAGTATTGAAGTATTAGAGTGCATGAGATTCAGACTTGCATTCATGGCTTGGTATGAAAATCTTCAAATTGACACTGCCTTTTCTTGTTTGTTCAAAATAGCAAGCAAGCTAATAAGATATTGATCTTTTCTTTTTAATTTGGGCTCATTAGTAGTAGTAGTGGGTTCCCTGCACTTGTCCTAATTTACTATCAAATAATATTTGTTGACTAAGATTTGAAGACATCAGGCAGGTGGCATAGCCATATCTATTTTCTGTTAATTGATTACATTTGTCTAGTTCACTACTTATGGGTAACATGCAAATGGAGTCCTGGTATGGAATATGAAGCATTTTTAGAAGTTAGCTATCTTGTGGAAGTCAGAAGAGTACCTTTCAGTTGGTTTTATAGATTATTTTATGAATTTATAGACTTTCTGTTCTTTATAATAGATACCCATGCACTTAACTTTTGAATCTGAACTATTTAATTGGTAAGTATTATTCTATGACCAAAACAACGATATTTTTGAGTTTTAGATATCATGTTGGGTTAACTGCAGTGATGTCTTATCCCCAGATCCATACTGATTCTCAGTGTCTGCAACACTGTAAATTAAATTATAGGGTGTTAAGTCAGCTTAAGATTTAGCATTAAAAGTTGCCTTGGATGATGTTAATGTATTGTTCTGTCATTCAGCAATTTATTTAGCTGAACTTAAATGATTTCGAAGACATTCCATCTTTTTCTTCTTCTCCTAAAGTCTGGTGAATTTGATTGAAGTAATTTGCTTAAACGAGATAATTTATTGTCTTCTATTTGATCAAAGCTAATTTCCGTTGCATTTGGTGCATTCTGCAGGTGGATATGACTGCATTAAGGCAGATGGGAGACAATGACCTCAAAGACTTGGGAATACCTATGGTATTATTCTGTTCATCTTCGCCCTCAGTTGATTTCAAAATTTGGGCATGACTTGGTTTTTCTGTTTGATATTGTTGTACTTATTTAGTACTGTCTGCCTGATGTTTATGAAGTTCAAATTTTGATGAGTTCTAAAAGCATCAATAGATTATTATACCTATCTTTACCATTTTTCTTCTTTGACAGTTATGAGTTATGGTCTACCAAAGAACTGTTTTACTAACTTAAATTCAGTATGTGTGTTCCTAGGACATGAGAAGTCAGAAAGGCATCTTAATGTTTGGTGCAGAACTGGGTCTGAGTCATATACATTTAGAGGGGGACTCATTATTGTCCATTATTAAAGCATTCCAAGGTGATGGACTTATGTTATCATCTTTTGGGCATATTCTCCAAGGTGCTGTTAGTACCAGCAGATGCTTCACAAGTTTTTGCTGTTCGCATGTGTTGCGAGGTGGAAACAAGGCTGCTTATGGACTGGCTCGTATGGCGGTTCGTTTGATCGATCGAAGAGTTTGGAAGAATGAGGTGCCTGCTAAATTATGTAGAGTTATTCGGTCTGAATTTTGAAAAATCTAGAAATCCCTTAGATGTTGATTTGTGATTGTGTATCAATTTTAAGCAGTATATAACAATCCCAATCAAACAATCAAGACAAATCGACACAACGATTTTACGTGGAAAAACCACAATTGGACACCTCCAATTGTGATAAAAAAACCACGGGCAACAGCTACGAAACAATCCACTAAGAAGATATAAAGGAATTACACAGGTATACTCTCAATTACCTAGCGAATCCACGCCCGAATTGAACCAACCTCTATGTGTCTCTTCCAATCCGGTCTTCACCTCGGAATTGTCTTGACGATGAGCCACTCCGGAATCCACCAAAGCTTCAAGTTCGAATTCTTCAGAATCCACCGAAGAACAACTCTCTCTTTTGTGTAGAACAAACAAATAATCCTTTGATGTATACTCTTTAAATCATGAGTTGAATACTCAATTAAAACATCAAAGAAAACTAGCAAAATATCCCCAGATATAAACCTTAGAATCCAAAAAGAAGATCTGGAGGACTTGTCCAAGTTTTGGGAGAAAACCAACTACTTATAGAAATCCAAAGTAATCCTAGTTTTGGAAGAAAACCAATTCCTTATAGAAATTCAAAGTAATCCTAGTTTTGGAAGAAAATCAATTTCTTATAGAAATCCAAGAATCTATACTCGCGCGGTCCGCTCGAGCGTAGGAATTCCCGCTCGAGCGGAGGCTTCAAAATTGTGTGATTCATATAGGCTTCACGCTTGAGCGGACGTCCCCACGCTCGAGCGTCGAATCACACCATCCAGTACTTTTTCAGGCGAAACAGAGATGCTGTGAGCTTGCAATCCCCGCTCGAGCGTCACTTTCTCCGCTCGAGCGGGACGACCAAAATTGAAAAATCTGGAAAACTTAATCCTATTACAACCTCGGTTTTGATCCATGGAAATTGACAAAGGCACGATTCGGGTTTGATTCGCATCTAATAAACTCATAGCCTCACTGAAATAAAAGGTGCGAAAACAAATACAACTGAAAGGAGTTTTGTCAAACGGGGTTGCCAAGAATAAACAAGAATAAAACCTAACAATTTGGTTTTTCTGTTTGATATTGTTGTACTTTTTTAGTACTGTCTGCCTGATGTTTATGAAGTTCAAATTTTGATGAGTTGTTCTAAAAGCATTAATAGATTATTATACCTATCTTTACCATTTTTCTTCTTTGATAGTTATGAGTTATGGTCTACCAAAGAACTGTTTTACTAACTTAAATTCAGTATGTGTGTTCCTAGGAGATGAGAAGTCAGAAAGGCATCTTAATGCCTTTTGCAAGTCTGTGCTCTTTGTTACATTGACTCTTTGAAATAAATCAAATACCCGTGTCGGACACCCAACTCTCGGGCAAGGGTATGGGATAAGTGTCGGATAATTTTCAATGGATACTTCTTATATAATTATATATAACACTATTATTATTATATATATATATATATTGTTGTATAAATGCTATAAATGTCTTTTTGATACTGTAAGTTACATATAGTACCATTTTATTTCACATATTTGATTAAAAATATAAAAATACGATTTTTTTTTTTCCAAATCCGCATGTCCTTAAATTTATGGTTTGATGAGTCTAACCTCTAAATACATACCCACACCCAACACCTGTACCCGAGTCCATTCTAAAAGCATTAATAGATTATTATACATATCTTTACCATTTTTCTTCTTTGACAGTTATGAGTCGTGGTCAACCAAAGAATTGTTTTACTAACATTAATTCAGTATGTGTGTTCCTAGGACATAAGATGTCAGAAAGGCATCTTAATGCCTTTTGCAAGTCTCTGCATTTGCTATGGTTTCATTCATGGATTGTCTGTTGTTAGCAGGCACCTTATCAAATTCATTGATTTTCATTTTGTTTTGTTATATGTAGTGCCATGTTTCTTCTACCCTTGCAATTGTGAAGCCTGTAGTGACAGCTGTATACATAGATAGTTACAACATTTATGTGATGGAATGTCATTAATCAATGTGCACTAAAAGAGTATGGGAATTTGTCGAACCTTGTTCTAGTTGGAGCGAGAAAGAGAGTAGTCATTTGATTGGGCTGATTTTGAAAAATTGCCCTCATCTTATGCTGACAGCTATAGATGTAGAGATGACTTTAATATATTCTTCAAAACTCAAAACCCATGAGTATGTGCTTGGCTTCTGCTGAAACCCTTGGACAGCCTCATTGGGGAATTCTTGACGAAATAGCAAAATATTTATTTGTGACACTCGAGGGTTGGGTTTTTTTGGATTCTGTGTGAGAATTCTTGATTTTAAACTCAACTATTTTAGGGATACAATTTCTTACTTAACCCTAATCCTAACAATTTTGTCCTACCTACTTCTATACTTTACCCTAGCCCATCAATGCTCTCCCAAACCTTTTTTTAATTAAAATCAGGTTAGTACAAATACAATCAGGTCAAGTAATTTTGCCATTGTTTTGTTGTCATGGGCATTTAGTTACCCAGGAAATGAAGTTACACCACAGTGGCACTAAATCGGTCATTATTCTAGTGTTATTCCAAACATTAAGTGATCAGTGCACATGGGACTGTTGACTAAATGTGTTCTAGTGGCACACCATGGCAACCGAACATGGGAGACCAAGAAGGGAGAGAGCTGGTTGGTTCTAGAGACATGGGAATGAACATGTTGGTTACATGAGGGATAGAGAAGATTTGCAAAAATGAAGTGAGGACTGGAAAAGGTAGAATCAATTCATAGGCCAAAACAGGGCTCGTCTTCAAAACTGAGGAAAATGCAATGATGTCAGATGTGATGTTTTGACATAGTTTCTTTCTCTGAAATATACACGAGGCAGTGCAATGGCTTTATTGTGAATCAGTTTTGAGGAGCATCTAGTCTTTGAGCACAATAACAACAATCTACAACAACCTTTACCGAGATATTTTGACCTTAAAGTTGTAATTGTTGGTTCAAAGGGGGAATATTTTGTTTGCAAAATAATGATTACACAGAGATACTTATCCCCTTTTAACTTAACAATGTTGTAATTTTTATTGAGAGGAAACAAGCATTCATGGCTCAGACCTTTAAGTTCAGAACATCATCATCATCATCATCATTTTGCTGTGAACAATCTCTAGGTTATTATTTCATGCCTTACAGTCAACATAATGTTTGCAGTTTCATTCTCTTCTCTTAGAAAGATTTTTTAAATTGCAGGGGCCTAGGAAGAAAATCTTGCTTGCCCTGCTGTCACGTACCAAGCGACAATTGGGATGAAGTAATACTTCAAAAACAAAGAAACTTGTTGGGTATTAGCCTTGGAAGATCTTATTCAAAAAAATCTTTCGCATCAAATTGATCAGCTGTTTCGTCCGTACATGCTCTAGTATAAACTGTAATATTTGACATTGTTACATGGTAAGAAATTTTGCATTGTTTAGATGTCTCCTTGTTCTGTGCTAGATGATGCCCGTCTGAGTGCTTTACATATTGTGCTGAGAATTGATATTACTCATCTGCCATTTAGTCCGAGGAAATTGAATTTAGTTAAAACAAAGTCTGGAGATTAATTTTTGTACTTGTCTAATGCCTTTCATGTTAAATCTGTGTGGTTGGAATTGAGCTTTTTCTTGCAAGTTGGGAATTATACTGGCATATGCTTCAGCAAATTCAGAATTGGTTGTCTTCAATACTTGAGGCTCGTTTGATATCATTTTTAATTTATATTTTATTTGATCTTTTTGAAAGCGGAAAAAATAGAAAATGAAACAGTTAATTTGGTCCTTTTTTTATATACATAAATCATTTTCAAGAAATGCATGTACTCTTTTTTTTTGGAAATTATTTTTATACAACAATGAAAACAATATTACAGCGACGGTTTCACATATCTCATTTGTTTGAGAGGTGATCTATTATTTTATTTTTCATTTGTCATGTTAAACCATTGAAAGCATGCCCCCTTGGTACGGACTTAGTAACACGGGTTGACTATATGGGATGGTAAAGTGGTAAAGGTCCTATTATTGACAATTAAGTAAATATGAAATGTCAAAAAAAAACTTATTTGGGTCTTTAATGAGTGATATTTTTGTTTTAGAAAATATTTATTATTTCTGCTTTTGACTTTTTCTTGTTTTTATTTTTATTTTTTTTATTTTTATTTGTTTCTAGTTTCGTTTGTTTTAACAAGTTTCTTTGACTTTTAGTCACCCGAAAGTTTCTTTGACTTTCTTGTTGATTTTAATAATTTTCTTTATTGTTGTGGTGAATGGCAAGAATTGGCTTAGTTAATTTTTTCCAATAAAACAATAATGATTGATTGAGATTATTTTTTTTAGAGACTTTTGCAACGCTCTTTGAATCTCAATTATTGATGATGTGAGTTCTACACATACGTAAGTGAGTATCACACATACACCAATAATTGAGATTGAAAGAGAATTGTGGTGTTCTCTTAAAAAAGAAAGTCTCAAGCATTTTTTTAAAATTAATTGTGCTGGCTTAGTTGACGATTTTTATACTCGTGTATTCGGAAGTTGAACATTACCAAAGGTAAAGATTCGTCATTATTTTCTATCCTATTGTATTGAATTTTTTTATTTTTATTATGAGTTGTTTTTAGGGTTGTTGGGTTTCTGAGTATGAATGGTTAGAATATGTTGTCTAGTTAATTTAAGTATTCTTATATACGTACTTAGCTTTGGTTTGAGAAGAAGTTATTTTAGTTATTTTTTGACTTTTTTACAAAAAAAAATATATAAAAAAATTGAAATAGTGATGTAATAACTGATAATGATTTTTTAATTTTTTGACTAAATTTTTAAGTTGTAAAAACCACTCTTGCTTTTTAACAACGACGGTAAACTTTAGAACTCATCAGTTAATTTAATATGTTTAGGTCTCCCCTCATCTTTACCCATTTTATTTTATTTTATTTTTTGTTAGGTGCATTTTTAAGAGTCAATAAAATTATAATAGAGTTGTAGAAATCTTGTTTTCAGATTCTGGTCCTACACGTTGCTCTTGCATCAACGAAACCTAAATTATGATGGCAAAAGTTTCAATAAGAAAAGGAATTTAAAATTGGGAAGAAAATTTCTTTTACATATATTTTTTTTATCTGTACAGTCTAAAATATGACAAGTAATTTTTAACTATTACATTGAATTTGAGAAGATGAAAGTTTGGCTAATAATTTTAGAATATAGTATGTCTACGAATATAGAATATTTGAAGACACTTTTACCGCTTGCCACCGGCCGACTCTAGCTAAACCTCTCATAACTCAGTGAGCTCTGATGACATTTCAACTACTCTTACTATTGTCCACCACATCTTGCAATATTTGTGCACACCAAGCAAGTTTTCTGTGTTATATTTTTCACAAAAATAAAAACTTGTTACATGTTTTATATAAACAAAAAATTGATAACGATGTCAAATCATAAATGTGATCACATCAGAAAAAATATATATACATATTGTACATTAAAAAAAAGTAAATTAAATATAAAATTTGTGAATCTAGATTATTTTGATGCCGCATTAAATTTGAAGGTAATTCTTGACTCAAGCCTATATCAAATTTAATGATTTAAATAAGTGTACTTTTTTATTTTTTATGAAATGTGGGTTGGGTTTGGATTGGGTTTGAAGTGATGTATTAGAGAGGTGATGTGACTTAAATAAGATGATGTGACTTAAATAAAAGTCTATAAGTTAATGTAATATGACCAAATTACCATTTCTAATTTTTTGCACATATTTCTATTTTGAAACTTATACATAATAATAGTCTCTCATTTTATAGAGAAAATTTCTCCCTTATTCTAAGAAGAAAATCTCTCCCGCATTCCATGGAAAAAATTTATCCATTATTCTAAGAAGAAAATCTCTCCCGCATTCCATGGAGAAAATCTCAAATTATGAATTTTGAATCTTTTTATAATTTGAAAATTTTAAAAATAATGCAACAAAAAATCTGAATGAAAATCAAAATACAATGTGAATGTTCACCGAAATTTATATCAAAATATAATGTGAATGTTCACAATTTATAATTAACATACAATTAGCCTTAAAAAAAATGACTCATACCAATGTACATATTTTACACTATAATATGAAAATATAAAATAAAATTGAAAAAAGTGAAAGTCGACTATTTCAATTGTTCAATTATAACAAAAATGATTATTCAATTAACAAACATAGTAACAAAAACAACAAACACACAATTAATTTTTGAAAAAATAAAACTTATATAAAAATACAATGTGAATGTTCACAATTTTATAATTAATATACAACTAGTTTTAAAAATAAATAAATAAACTCATACCAATTTGAACATTCACACTACAACGTAAAAATATAAAATAAAATTGAAAACAATGAAAATCGACTATTTCGATTGTTCAATGGTAACAAAAAATGATTGTTCAACCAACAAGTATAGTAAAAAAAAATATATAACTAACTTTCGAAAAAAATTCAAAAAAAATCTTATACCAAAATACAATGTGAATGTTCACAATTTATAATTAACATACAATTAACCTTAGAAAAACTAAATTCATACCAATATGAACATTCACACTACAACATTAAACAAAATTGAAAGAAAAAAATGACTATTTCAATTGTTTAATGGTAATAAAAAATGATTGTTCAAACAATAAGTATAGTAACAAATAACCAATGATATGTGAATATTCACATCTTACAAAATATATAATTATGTCCATATCTATATTCCAACATTTATTTCTCAGACTTTCAAACAATGAAAAATGTGAACATTTTGATTGATTAACAACAACAAAAAAAAACCATTGCAGCAATAGAATTAGAAATCTAAAAAAAAAAACTCAATCACTCTAAAAACAAAAAAAATATATATATATATCACCTACATCCTTATCTTCATCATAATCATTATCAATATCATTATCATTAACAATCTATGCAATTTCACCATTCCACCAATCCAAATCAAACCAAACTCATATTTGAAGAATATGTTTGTAACGAAATTGATTAGACATAAACAAAATTTAGGCTTACAACAATGAAGAAACATAGAGTTTCGAACACAGAGCAATAATGGACGAATACAAAACTTTGAACACAAAGTGACAATGGCGGAACACAAAGTTTCACCGCAATAATAGAGGAACATAATTTTATTTCACCACCATGTATAAATTAGAGTTTCTAAATCCTACCAAATAAAGAGTTTCGAAACCCTATGTTAGGTTTTTATTCTTGACAATCCCGTTTGACAAAATTCCTTTCAGTTCTACTTGTTTTCGCACTTTTATTTCAGTGAGGCTATGAGTTTTTAAATGCGAATCCAACCAAAATTGTGCCTTACAGAAAAGTTTGTGATGCTAATTCTTCATAATTGCCACTTCGCTGACTATGACGGGGATCGAGTTGCTCGATCGACTCGTAGGGGTCTAGGGGGCAGCGCCCCTTAGCGGGTCCAGGGCAGCACCATGGCAGGGTTGAGGGGCAACGCCCTTGAAACAAAATGCAAAAATGCATTCAAAGTTGTTTGTCTGCTCGAGCGGCCGTTTGTACGCTCAAGCGAAGAATGTTGGTTTCTAGAAGTTTGACCTGTCTGCAAATATACTGTGAGGTGTTCTTTTTCGCTCGAGCGTCCATTTCCCCACTCGAGCGTACATCCTGGTTTGGAACACGCGTTATAGAGTCCCTACTCGAGTGTCCATTCTGTTGGGATATACCTCCTTATTGGAGTGTGAGACCCAATTGGTCTGTTAAAGAGTTTCAATTTGACTTGGTTTAGGTATAATATATTTTTATATATTATATTTGTGGAGATCCAATTCAATTTGGATACAATTAGGGTTTGATTACAAAACCCTAGATTAACAATATATATATATTGTTTTTGGGTGTGCCGCAAGGTGAGATAGATTGAAAACCAAATAAGTGTTCGGCGGCCAGACTATCACATTACTTCGGAAACAGTGCCAAAGATTTATATAGTGGTTCAATTTCGGTTTTTGAAGCTCGGTTTTTGGGCATCTTCGGTTGATGTTTGGTTCGTTATTTTGGGTCTTCTTCAACTCTGATTCTGAAGATTTTGATTCTTCTATTTGGTGAGGTCTTTCCTCTTTGTTTATTTGTGATTATTTGGAATTCACCTAAGGGTGGTTTTGTGAGACCATTAGTGTCTTGTTTGTAATCGTTTGGAACTTATTTGGTTGATAGTGGAATCGGATTTCGATCCCGTGGACGTACCTCACATTGAGGGAACCACGTAAAAATTCTTGTGTTGCCTTTGATTTAATTTTTCCGCATTAGTTTTTATTCCCATTGATTGATTTACTTGTGGGGAATCACATCGATTTTCCCTAACACATTCCTACGCTCAAGCGGACCTCACGATTTCTGATTCTATAAAATCTCAAGTTGCTCCAAATCTAGGATTACGTTTTTCAGATCTTCTTTGAGGGTTTTAGGGTTTTCTTTTGAGACTATTTTGCTAATTTTCTTTAATGTTTGATTGAGTATTCAACTCATGGTTTAAGAAATATACATCAAAGGATTGTTTGT